ATTTTTCAAAAATGTTATTTTACCATTTTTTTCTTATGCTCTAAACAATGTAGTGACATGAAAAAATACTAAATCCACAAAGCTTTTTATTTCTGGTTCTCAGGAGGATATATAATGTTTTTTTTATTATTATTATTGTGTAACAAATTAAAGGGGTCATATGATGCTTTTTTAAAGATCATTATTTTGTGTATTAAATGAACTATACATCACGATTTCAGGCTTGATAGCATGTGCTCAATAGTCTGCTCAGTGAGATGAATCATCTGGAATACCCGATTTGTGTTGTTGTTTGCGTGTTCTGGATGTGCTGTCCATGATTCAGATTAAAGTATTAGCTCCAGATCCCTTCTTACTCAACAGGGCAGGTCTTAAATTAGTGGCATGTTACACCTTGTATCATATTTAACAGAATGACAGAGCCATTGTCTTCTTGAGACAACGATCCGTGTGAATGGGGATCATGTTGACAACATTGTCCTCTGTACATGAAACTTTTCAAAAACGCAAACAAAAACCGTTGTCATGTAAATGTACCCTACTGATCCAAATCATCTTCCACTGATCAAAACATGCTGATAATTACTTATTTTGATTCGATGCATGGTGTCTCAGCTTGCTGATCACACACAAACTGATCACATTTTTATGATTTGAAACACTGTGAATGTCCTACAAATTTAAAAGGCAGAAAATCTTATTTATTATAAAAATAATTCAATATAAAAGATGTTGGTATTAGTTTTAATTCAATAACACTTTGGGTCTTGCCAAATAATTTAAAGCCACTTTTCATGATCCAATTCATTCCTGATGGGTAAAATCAAGTCACATGCTGTTTTTTGTTGACTTTGAACCTACATAGCTATCTATCAATTTATGTCTCATAATCTCAACTTTTTATCTCATAATTGTGACTTAGAATTTTTTATCTTAGAATTTCAATTTCAGCATGTTTTTTTTTCTTGTGTGATGGAATGGAAACGGGCATTCCTTAAAGCATGTACCACTGAAAATGCACTATATCTCATTAATCAACAACAAAGACTTTTTGCATTCAATGCAACATTCAATAATGGAGCGCATTACTCACCCATTGTTTGATAAAAAAGATGTCTATCCAGTCTGATGCCGTTCAGCATGCAATAACAGGCACACAAACACTTTCTATTCAGTACATCTGAAGCATTGAGAGGTGTGGAAACAGGAACACGCGTAATTCAAGCCACAATAACTTGTGAAAGCTCACTTTTGATGTTCTTCCTCTGTAGTCCGGTCTGAACGGACACATATACAAGATGCCTGAAATCCCAGATACCTTTCCAGAACTGTCTGAGATGAGGTACGATATGTCAGGGCATTTGTTTGTTATGAGAATGAATTGGATCTTATTTGTCTTGTCTGTTTCTGGTATAGTACTAAAACAAAATATACTAAAATCTGTTTTATTTGAAAAACATATGAATTTGACATTCGTCACATTCTGTCATCTTTCTGGTGGGTTTGTCTGTTTGTAATCTCCTAGTGTTTCTCAACTGAAGGACATGAGCGATCAAGATGACGTGCTGTTGGAGTTCTTCATGTGTCTGCCTCAGCTCAAACAAGTAACCTCTGACAAAGAGGAGCTGGTCAACAACATCGTAGAGATCGCCAGTGAGTTTTCTGAGCAGTGCACTGCAGACTGAGCTTGTTACTTAATTCTAGATCAGTTTTGGACTAAAGTGGGATCAGTAAAATTTTTCTTGTAAACAAATATTACGCATATCATTTGAATCAAGTTAGTCTTTAAAACAACAAGCTCACACCTCTCACACAATTCAATGTAGATCAGATCAGGTTTGCAAATAACAGAGGGAATATGTCTTGCTTGCAGAGAAGAACCTACAGCTCGAGCCTCAACTGGAGGGCAAGAGACAAGAGATGTTGTGTAAAGTATGTACTTTCCCAAATACTGACAAAAATAATTGGGTCCAAACGTCTGTGATTTAATTGTTCGATTCAACTTCCTTATGTTCCGTATGTTGCATAATTCAAAATAGTAGCATTTTCCCAAATTGTCTCAGACTTTTGGATCCTACTGTACATTACAGTCTTGTCAGTATCTTTCCTTTTGAGAATGCTAACGATTATCTGGTGTTTTATTTTCTGTAGTATGAACAGTTAACCCAGATGAAGTCGGTATTTGAAACCAAAATGCAAAGACAACATGAGCTCAGTGAGGTAAAACACACATGCACATGATCATGACAAGAAGTCTGTTGGACAAGGAAATGAAAAATATAGTATTCTAGTTTTCATCTAGTCTAATATTGAACATTTCAAAAAAAATGTTCTGCTTCCATATCGCATATTTTTTTTATTTTTTTTGGCCTTTCAGTTTTTGTTAATCCAGTTACATTTGGCTCTGGTTGTTGAATGGACTTGACAATATAAGATTTATTTATTTATTTAATCAAAAAAATTCAGTAAAACAGTACTATTTTAAAATATTACTACTTATTTTATATTTTAATATATTTTAGGGTTTAATTTATTCTTGTGATTGAAAAGTAAAATTTTCAGCAGCCATTACTCCAGTCTTCAGAATTGGTGCTTAATTATTATCAGTTATTGCTCAATTATTAATAGTCTGATATTTTGCTGCTTATAGATTTTTTTGTGAAAACCATTTTTAAGATTCTTTGATAAAAAAAAACATGGTCTTTGCTGTTACTTTTGATCAATTTAATGTGTCCTTAACAAATAGAAGTATTAATTTTTTCCTCTTTTTAAAAAAAAAAATCTTACTTACCCTAAACTTTTGAATGGTAGTCTATCACTGTTTCAACAATGTTAATCATAAGAAAATAAGTTTCCTGAGCACCAAATGAGCAGATTAGTATAATTTCTTAAAGGATCATGTGACCCTGAAGACTGGAGTAATGGCTGCAGAAAATTCAGATTTCTTTTTTGTAATGTTTGTTTTGATTTTCCTCTGCCAGAGCTGCAGTCTGAGTGCGCTGCAGGCCAGATTAAAGGTGGCGGCCCATCAGGCTGAAGAGGAGTCTGAGGAGACAGCGGAGAACTTCCTGGAGGGAAAGACAGAAATTGACGACTTCCTAACCAGCTTCATGGAAAATAGAACGGTATTAAAGCAATATTGTGTATGAAACAACAAACAAATATTTATAAGCACCTCCAGTAGAGCTCTATATATATATAGGCAATTCATCACACTATTTTGAAATTATACACATAATTTTAAACAACTTTATACATGTTAGATTGGGTCTCCAATCTTCATGCCAGGAATATTGGATGCAGTCTCTTTACCAGATCCCATCAGACAATTATTAATAGTCTGATATTTTGCTGCTTATAGATTTTTTTGTGAAAACCATTTTTAAGATTCTTTGATAAAAAAAACATGGTCTTTGCTGTTACTTTTGATCAATTTAATGTGTCCTTAACAAATAGAAGTATTAATTTTTTCCTCTTTTTAAAAAAAAATCTTACTTACCCTAAACTTTTGAATGGTAGTCTATCACTGTTTCAACAATGTTAATCATAAGAAAATAAGTTTCCTGAGCACCAAATGAGCAGATTAGTATAATTTCTTAAAGGATCATGTGACCCTGAAGACTGGAGTAATGGCTGCAGAAAATTCAGATTTCTTTTTTGTAATGTTTGTTTTGATTTTCCTCTGCCAGAGCTGCAGTCTGAGTGCGCTGCAGGCCAGATTAAAGGTGGCGGCCCATCAGGCTGAAGAGGAGTCTGAGGAGACAGCGGAGAACTTCCTGGAGGGAAAGACAGAAATTGACGACTTCCTAACCAGCTTCATGGAAAATAGAACGGTATTAAAGCAATATTGTGTATGAAACAACAAACAAATATTTATAAGCACCTCCAGTAGAGCTCTATATATATATAGGCAATTCATCACACTATTTTGAAATTATACACATAATTTTAAACAACTTTATACATGTTAGATTGGGTCTCCAATCTTCATGCCAGGAATATTGGATGCAGTCTCTTTACCAGATCCCATCAGAAGACATCCATTTACAGCAAGCCTTGTTTGATACTAAAAATCAGTTAAGAAATCTGTATTAAAGGGGTCATATGATGCGATTTCAAGTTTTCCTTTCTCTTTGGAGTGTTACAAGCTGATTGTGCATAGATAAGATCCCTGAAGATGCAAAGACTAAAGTCTCAAAACCAAAGAGATATTCTTTATCAAAGTTAAGACTCTGCCACGCCCCCCTAAAACGGCTCGTTCTAACACGCCCCCACATATCTACCTCACTATGTGGAAATATTAGCATAATGCCGCCCAAATGTGCACGCAAAGAAAGAAGCCGTGGTTTCAGTAACCGCAGTTAGTGTTGAAGCAGCATGTCAGGGAGACGCTGTGTGTTTCTAGGCGAAAGCAAAAGCACTTTATTTGGCCTTCCAGAAGTAGATGCATTTAGGAATCTTTAAGATTACTTACAACAGAACAGCAATGCATTTTATGGACGACCGTTTCGTGAACCTAGGAGAGGAGGTCATTCTGACTTTGCTATGACAATCTGGCGCTTCTGAATCAGCGACTGTTTTGTTATTAGTTTAAGTATTTGCTACTGACTGTTCAAATGCGGTGTTTTGCGCATCGTGTGTGTGTGTGCGTGTGTGTCTGCGCGAGCGAGCGATAGAGAGAGAGAGAGACATCACAGTGGGGTCAGCTGTCTTAACCATGGCTTGTGTACTGCAAACACATACCAGCTTCATCACGGTGTCTGTCACGCGACTCTGTTCTGTGGCTCTGTCTTTACATTTATTTTGAAAGATGAAGCTCGCGATTATGGTAAGGGGAGTTACATTTCCGACGAGTGCTTGCGGTGTTCACCCAATCACAATGCACTGGGTCAGCTGGCCAATCAGAGCAGACTGCGCTTGTCGGAAGGAGGGACTTTGTAGAAAACGAAGCGTTTGAGAGAGGCGGGGCATAGAGGACCTACAATAATGTACAGTATTTGAAAAAGAATGTGTTT